TACGAAGACAGCTGATAAAAAGCGCGCATCTAGTAGTGGTATTTACGACGTGCTGCCTCGTAAGATAGCAGTAGCTGCAGCAGTTGCGAAGCCACAGTGCGCTGTCCGTACAGTAGAGCAGACGGGAGGTTGTGTGCCGAGGGTACTCTGGCCGTCTTAATATAGAGTGGCACGCCACGGAGCCAATGACGGGCGCACGGGCTGCGAAGAACAGGAAGCTCGCTCAGAACACGAGCGGATGATGTTATTGCGACTGGGGTGGTGGAGAAATTTCAGGCAGGGCCTGGCGGATGACGGCATGCACCGGCCATGGCAGCGAGGAAAGGCGCATTATCGCGGCGCTGTGCAACGCAGGCAATTCGGTGTTTTGCATGCAGCACAAAGGGAGCAAGCGATCTCAAGGGGCCGCTGTGCCAGATTTCGCATTTCAGACTTCAGACGCACACAGCCACGCCCATGCCGCTTTCGTCGCTAGCCGGCTCAGCAGTTATGAGCTCCCCCTTTAGGATCACGCGCCAGATGTCACGCTGCGGAAGACGTTTAGTGCACGCCTATAGGCTTATTAATTACTAGTCTATACTATTAATTTTTTTATTATTCTCTTTTAAATTAGAACTAAGATATATCTTACTTAACTTAATACTTTTTTACTTTATACTATAAGCTTAGTAATAATTAGTATATTACTAGAAGTAGTACTATTAGTAAGAACTCTCTTATAAAGTTATTTAAAAGCTTATAGCTTTTTACGTATAAAAAGCTTAATATTAAAGTTAATAAAGATATTAGCGTAGATAAAAATAGTAGCTATTATACTTAAAGTAACTACTTAAAGTATACTTATTTAGGCGTAATTAATAGCATCTATATATATAGTAGTAAGTTCTACTAGCTTTTATTTATAGAGGTTAGTAAGTTTATATTTAATATATTTAGAACTACTAAGATATAATAATAGTAGCGTATAAGTAGCTTATTAAGTAATTATTATTATTATTGCTATTTTAAAGTATATAAATAAAGATAAAGAAAGAAAAAATAACGTAGTATAAAGTTTTATACTTTTATCTTATTTAGGTATTAGTAGTATATAACTATAGTATACTTTAGTTATTAAGTTAAGATTTTTCTAAATTTCTATAGTTAAGAAACACTAAAGCTAAGGCTTACTTGGACACGTGATTTAGGATCACGGCTAGTTAGCGAGGGTGCATTAGAGGCTGCATTAGACACCCGCTTTTCCGTGCGAAGCTCCAAGCCAGTCGCTGCTGGATGCAACACCAGGAGCGGCATCAGGCCTTGGCGTGGGCGTGGTGAAAAGCTGCCAGGCCCGTCGCGTCTGTCGCTGCGTGCGAGCTGCGACGGTATTGTTTCACAAGAGCCAGCGGCCGATCGCAATCAGACGCCAGACCGCGAATCCCCCCCAATTGGCACGGGCGGCAGGGTAAAGCAGCAAAGCAGCGCGCTTGTGGTTGTTGGGCGCTTTCGGTTCGGCAGCTCTATCAACAGGTGCTGGCTGGGGTCGCCTGTCCGCTGCCGTGCAGGTCCACTAACCTTCGTGCACAACCTCGCCCGCCGTCGATTGGCAACCCAAGAGCCTCCGTCGATACATCATCATCACTGCGGACCCACGGCGGAGACACGAGATCGCCGCGCCTGCTACAGCCCGCCAGCGGTACCACGGAACTCTAACTTCCTCATCTCCAGCGAACCTCTCCCCTTGCTGACTGTCCGACTCCCTCGCGCGGCACCTCTTATCCGTCTTCGCGTCGCCGCCGTCGTTGTCGTCGCCTCAGTCGCTCCTTTGCCAGGCCTGTCAGCTGCTGGCTGCCATTGTCGCCATCATGTCCAGCAATGTGACCGAGAGTACGTTGTCTACTTCCATTCTTTCTCCCTCCTCTGCACCCGCTGCCTCGTCCGCGCCCGCTGCTACGTCGTCGTCTGCTCCTCCTGCCTCTGCCCCATCCTCAGATCCGCCCTCGTCAGATCTTCCTTCGCCGTCTGTAACACCGTCCGCAGCGCCTGCGCCTACGGAGCCTTCTGCTCCCGCCGCCTCGTCCAGCCCGCCTGCAGACTCTCCTTCAAGTCCTGCGCCGGCTTCTAACACGCCTTCAGCGGCCGCGCCCTCCTCTGAGCCTCCTCCACCCGCCTCGAGCGCTCCTCCCGCATCCAGCGCCGCCCCAACCAGTGACCCGCCCGTCCAGTCGAGCCAGGCGCCGCCGCCGGCTTCATCAGCGGCTCCAGCCCCATCAACATCGGCAGCTCCTCCCCCAGCGCAGTCGAGCGCACCACCGCCAGCGCAATCATCCACCCAGGCTCCTCCTCCTGCTGCCACGACCAGCGCTGCACCGAGCTTCGTCGATACAAGCGTCTTCACTGCCCCGTCGGCTGAACCCTCGACCCAAGTCATCATCTCCACCGTGACACCCACGGCAGAAGGAGAGACACCGTCAGTGGTCACCGTTATTCGCACTTTTACTCCAGATTCTCCCACTGCAGCACCAACCAACAGCGCGTCCCCCTCCGGAACAGGTGCCGCTGACCCTTCCAATACCGACTCCACCCAATTGCAGAATGCACAGAAGGAGAACAGTGGCGGTCTCAGCACTGGTGGTAAGACTGCCATTGCTGTCGTCATTCCCGTCGTAGTCGTTGCTCTGCTAGTCCTAGCCGGCATCTTCTTCTGGCGCAAACGCAAGCAGCGCCAGAGCGCCGAGGACGAACGCAGGAAGGAAGTCGAGGAGTATGGCTTCAACCCTAACCACGACCCTACCCTTCCTGCCGTTGGTGGATTGGCCATGGCCGAAGACGACAGCGGTTACCGAGGCTGGGGCAACACCACCACCAGCTCCAACCGCAAGATGTCCACCACCCTCACCTCTGGCATGACCTACTCGGACAGCAACAGCAACCCCGGCGGATACACCAGCCCACACTCTCCCACACACGGTGCCTACTCTGACGCTCACTCCAACGACCCGCTTGTAGACGGCCGTCGCCAGACCATGGACTCGGACGGTATCGGCGCCCTCGGTGTTGTCAACGGTGCTGCCGCTGCCAACTCTGCCAACAACCAGGCCGGTGTGCACCGCGGGCCTTCCAACGCTTCGTCGTCATACTCAGCAGCCAACCACTCTGACAACTCTGGCGACTACCCTGGCATGGCCAATGGTCATCCACAGGAGTACTACAACAACCAAGACTACTACCAGAACGGGCCATATGCTGCCAACGATCCATACGCTGCCCAACAACAGCCCATCATAAGAGACGTATCAGCACGACGGAACACGAGGATCGAGAACCCCAGTGTCTTCCCCCAACAAGGCAACTCTGGAATTGCGCAAAACTTCTAGTCGCACGCACTTGTTGTCATCGTATTTTTACATCCATCGCTACCTGTATATTGCGACTCTATCTTTACCCATTTCCTTTAGCTCTCATTCGACATATATCCAAACGGAGGCGTTCATCGGGTGGCCATCAATTTATTTTGCATCGTATCGATCTTCGCGTTTGTTAGTTGTACTGTTGTTGCATGCACATGCAAGTCCGCCCGCATGGATGCCGGAAAACCCTTCCGCATGCCCCACTCCACACAACGGAGAGTCTTCTTCGGAAGATGCGGAAGCTTACACTGCTGAGACATTTTGCGATGGGCACAACAAACAAAAGCACGAGCGTTTTGAGTCTGGACCAGCGCAGCATGCATATCTCACTACACGTCGATTTGTCGGCAAGGATTCAAGAGGTGGGACCTTTTTGATTCTCTTGGATCTGTGTGGGATGATGCATGCTGGCAGCTTTTTTCCTTGTCTTGTCACCTTTCTCTATCATATTGATGCTGGAATCTCGAGGATTGACGCTTTCTCACGCGACCAATATAGTACTCTTGTAATTAGCCAACGCCTCTTCTCCGTTACCATCCTTTTACCATTTAACACGTACGCCAACTACTTGGGCAAACTCTTTTTCTTTTACATGTTGGGGCCCACAGATGACGTTGGAGGTCTCTATCTATATAGGTAGAGAGAAAATAGATTGACAACAAACTTTACACAAGTCTTTTGGTAACTTTTCTGTGTTTCAACCAAGATTACTTGATTGAGAAGACTATTCCCATCACGTTCATCCATTCTAGATATTCCCAAATCGCTTTCGCCATTATACGTCGCACTCGATCTGACCCTATTCCACCGCAAAACAAAGAATGTTGTTATCTGTCCTCGCCCAGCCACTCGTGTGCTTGGGGTGTACGCGGCCCGACAGCAGGTCTGTTTTGATCTAGACCTAGACCACTAGCTGGCAGCGGCCGGCAAGTAATGTTGAGAGACTCCGGTTCGCTCCCAACGCGTCCGCTAGTATACAGTAGTCAGCAGTAGCTACGTAACGTAGCATGCATGTATGCTGCATGCTTGCGAGGCTGTACATGCAACGTAGATCTTGCCCCGACCCCGCGGTCAACATCCTGCCGAACCGTACCAAACAGTTTGTCGGTTGAGATGTTTGTGTGATGCAACATTGGTAAGTAGTAAGGCATGGGTCGTCACGGTTGCCTACCTTCTTTCCCAAGATCATTTCCATTCGGGTGAGGAGTCATCCTTCTGATTTCCAGAAAATGGGAATATCACTCGGCGTCCCCGGGCTGTCGGTCAGAGTGCGCATGTTCTCTGGTGTCATTGCGGGGTTCGACGGTGGAGTTTGGTTCAACAGCGGCTTGCTAGAAATATGAGCTACCCGTCCTGTTCCAGACTTCTGACTGGTTGCGCGTCACAATTATGAGGGAAAAAAGAAGGTCGACCTGCTTGGCGTGTGTAATGATAGTAGAAGGACGGCGAGGTCTACATATTGTGTGTTGTATGAGTAATCGCATCTGCAGTGTATTGTAGACATGTGCGTGGATATCAAGCAGGATGTAGCTCATCATGGATAACTCCGTCGATAGGCTTGCAGGTTACATACATCCAATTGGAACTACAAAGACAACTTCCAAAGTCGCATTATCTCAAATCACCTCCACCCTTGGGTTTAGCAAGATTGAATCTAGCCCTCTTCCGCATACTAGCAGCTTTACCAGGCTCTGTAACCCTGGGTTTAGACTTGTCCAAGTCTATCATACTCTTGAAGACGGGCGCCGCTTGGGGGATATTGGTCGGCTTGAGCGCGACATCATCAACCATGGGAGGGGCAGGCTGGACAAGACCCAACCGTTCCTGGAGCTTCCTGTATTGGACTTCAGGGTCTTGCAGGTTGGCGCGCGGTGCTTTTGGCTGGCTATGAGGCACCCGAGGAGGCTCCGTTGCAGTTTCGAGATCGCTGGCTCGGTCTTGATGTAAGCCCGATTGTTCTTTGGTTGGAGAAACAGTGGTTTCAACAACAGAAGAGCCAGTCGCGCCAGAACGCTCCTCGGTTGGAGAAGTTGAAGTTTCAACTGGAGAGCCAGTCGTACCGGATTGAACTGAAGTAACATCGTTTGTTGGTGCTACTTCGACAGCTTCGAGCGCCCGCTGCCACCAGTATCGCTCTGCCTCAGCTTCTTGTTCCGCTCTCTCTAGTGCAATCGCCTCTTTCTGCAGCCTGCTTTTCTCCAATATAGTCATCAACTTTCTCCGATCGACTACTTTCGCCAGAAATCGCAGTAAATCAGGGTCCGACTCATCCTCGGCGTCAAGATGTGGTAAGATATTGTCGATTTGGTCGACAAGTTGAGCATTTGCATATCCTCGCACCATCACTCCCCAGGTGTACTTTGAGGGATCAGTGCTCCTGTCGCGCATAATATCGAAAATTCGTTCTGCCGCCTGTATCTGGCCTGTCTTGAAGAAAGCCTGCATAAATATATTCCAGCTGTAGACATTGGGCTTTGTTGGGCCATTGGTCATGTCTTGGATGAGCTGAGATGCGTTTGCGAATTGCTGTTTTTGACAAAAGGCGTACAGGAAGGCGTTCCAGATTTGCGGCTGTCGAGCCAGTTCATTGAATGCCGGATGACCCCCCTCCTGCACGACCGACTTGAATTTGAGATATAAGTTGTAGACTCGCATGTTGCTAACTGCCAAGGCTGATTGAATCTCTGTCTGCAGCATGATGTATAGCGTTACATGTGAAGGAGAAATGCGCACAGACTCTGACGTAGATGAATCCTGTGACATTACGGCGTTCCCTAGGCTTGCGGTTCCGTAGCCAACGAATGGTTGCAGAGGCGCTGTCGTGAAAAGTCTGGAGTAAGAGTGCCATAGCATGGCCGAGGTCTGTTCGACGTTTCCATCAACTCTGTAGCGTACATACTGATAGTAGAGACACTCCGTTGCTAGCCAAGAGTCCTGGATATCTTGTGCTACCTCTTCGCAATACTGTGCAAATCTTTGGAAAAAGGCTGGATCATTTTGCATGGTACATCCATGGAGCATTATCCCGAATGTGTATTTGTCTGGCTGTAGGTCATTATTTTCGAAGGTGTTGTACACCTTGAAAGCCGTGGCATGATCTCCAGCTTCCATTGCGTTGTGTATGACGACATTGTAAAGAAGTAAGTCCATCTGGATACCCATGTTTACAAAGGCAGCGACGATGTATGGAGTGTGGTGAAAGTCTTTGGTTGCAGCCATGCTCCTTCGCAGTATGACAGCGCACACCCAGCGAAGTCTTTGACGAGCCACAACAGACTCCCACGACTTAGCTGAATGTCGGCTTTTTAACGCCTCGAGGCATTTCAACGCATACTGCACTTCACCAGCCTGCCCAAATGCAGTGGCATAGTGTAGCACTGTATCGTAGTCAACGCGTACCTTGTGTTCCACGAGGCAATCGAACACTTTCTTCAGATCCTCTATATTGGCCAGCTCGACAAGATTGTACAGTAAGTCTTGAGAACAGAGATCGGGCTTGCTAGATAACGTTTTGAAAAAGACGTGCAAGAACGCCGGGACGAATTCGCGCTTGCGTGCTTCTAGGTCAGTACCCCAACTCTGGTCCTGATACAATCGGTGTCGATGAAGTTTGGAAAGATGACTGAGAGCGTCGGCAATAGCTTCTCGCTTCCGGCTCCAGGTACGTGTATCGTTAACCAGAGCTTGTATGAAGTATAAAGCGCGGCCAGGCTTACGGTCGAGGAGATAAATGAGCAACTTATGAGCGTAGGCTTTCCGCGTCGAGATGTCGAGAGCCTTCCACCTGTCCGATACTTGGCGCGGACTTGATTCGGTGTCTCCCGCAAAGAGCGTCCAACTCAATCGCGCACATCGTGGGTCGTGTTCTATAACGACGCTACGTGTGATTCTCCGCAAAGATGCGTAGACGGGGCGATCCAGTGCCGCAAACGCGTTTTGAAGCCCATTCTCTTTTGCAGAAGTGTCAGTCAGATCAAGATGCGTCTGGTTCCAGCTGACGAGGTTTGCCACGCGACGTCGAAGGGACCTGTATCGGCCATCTTGGTCGCGCCTTGCAGGTGAAAATCCGGCAGGTAGTCTAGAGACGTAGTTGTCGAGTCGCGCACGTTCCAAGGCGAGTTGTTTCGAATGTCTCTCGGCTCGCAAAGGTGTGCGTTGAACGGAAGATGAGGGAGCACGAGTGCGATTGGACTGTGCCCGACGAGCTCGAGGTCGCGAGAGCGTCTTCTCATCCGCTACGCCTTTATTGCTGGATGTGGTCGTTGCGTATGAGCGGGCATACTGGCGAGTGAATGTCGATATATCCGCATAGAGGCGATTGATAGAAACAAGACCGTCAGGTCTTTTGTTCCAATGGCCAGACGTCCGTAGGAGCCCCGCAGCAGGAGCGTCTTGTATCGGTCGCTTGCGACATGTTGGTACAATTGTCTGTCGGGGGCTCGAGATAAAGTCCTGATCTTCCACCCTATTGTGTTCCTCTAAGCTTTTTGATCTATCCTTCTCTTTGTCCCGTGTTGTGCTAGGCCTTCCATGCTGTTGGCTGTGTGCTTTCGTCGTCGATGACTGGGCGAAGACTCTCGGAGCGAGGAACGGCAGGATGGGAAAGTCGGCGCTGGCGATGAGGCTAGCATTGGGAACGCGAAGGCGGGGCATGAGAAGATGCAGGTGCTGTCGTCTTCACGGAGCCATGACGTGTCAATTGCAAGCAGCTGGTGAGGATGGCGAGGAGCACGAAAACTTGAGAAGGTGCGTGTTTGGTCAGAAGCGCTAACCGGAGAAGATCTTGGACTCCCGAGCTGTTCTCCGCAGCCACACGACAACCACGACCACTTCACCAACCACCCAGCACACTCTCCGTTCTCTCCGCGCATTCTCAGAAGGAATTTTGTGCATAGCATCACGTCATAGACCAGCTTTGGACACGCTCCGACCCTGCACGCAAGCACACTCCTGCCCGGCGCAACCGCAAAGCTCTCACCATGTCTTCGCACGAAAAGCTATCCGCAGCCGCCAACGACCGAAAGTCGCGCCTCGCACAACTCAAGTCGCTGAAACGGAAACAAGAACAAATATCAGACGCGCCAGAAGCTGCCGACTCGCCATCCACCCAGCTCCAGGCCGAGACGTCGCAAGCCCTCACACGCACAGAAGAAGAGGAAACATCAGTAGCAGCCACATACCTCTCCGGCCGAAACTTCGATGCGACGACGCGAAATGTCAAGCTCGGCTTTGACAATACACCAATCGCCGACCCCACAAACACATTGGAATACAAGGCAGAGCAGCTGGCGCTCGAAACAAAGGCGCAACAAGAAGCAGAAACGGCAGAGGACAAGGGACTTGACCTGTTCAAGCTGCAGCCCAAAAAGCCAAATTGGGACTTGAAGAGGGATTTGGAGCAGAAGATGAAGGGACTCAATGTGCAAACAGACAATGCAATCGCAAAGCTGGTCCGCGAGAGAGTAGAAGCCCAGAAGGCCATAAGAGAGAAGCAACCGACAGATGGCAGCAATGGAGAAGAGGTGGGTATGGAGGGTAGTGAGCTGGTCGAAGCAATGCACCTGAAGGAGCAAGAGGATGAGCGAGAAAGGAAGAGGGACGAGGAGGACGAGGACGTCAGTTGAGAGTGTAAAATACGGTGGATGCGATCTGAATCAAGACGGGAGTTGGCCGGACCAGTGCATGCAGCCTCGACGATCGGGGTTGCGTAAGGACGCAGATAGGAGGGTGTCGAGACGTGAGAAGACGATTGGACGATACCCAAGTCGAGTCACAAGAGGGACAAGAGACTTGCTTTTAACAGTCTCTCATGGAGGACCAAAATTTTAATGTCACGATCAAGCCACAATTATCCCATACTATCGGACGCTGCCATCTCCAACGGTCACGCGAACGACATCCACTGAAGACAGCAATAAAAAACACAACAGATGCGCTTAGACTTGGTCCATTATGTTCCTTTCAAGAGCTAAAGAACGAAAAGATATACAACAGCGGGTGTTCGCTTGTAGTCCGTGGAACCCAAAATCAGGCAGCGCGCAGAGGAATCGTGTCGCGTAGAATAGATACGAGAATTGGTCATGTGTTGCGCGGTAGACGAGCTCGTGCTGCCTGTGAGCGTCCTCTGCACTGAAAACGTGGTGTATGGACTGGACAGCTAAGGATAATCATTGACCACCAGTATGTTATACTTGCGACATATCTCATCTGCAAGAGTACCTTTTCGTCTAGGTCGCCGATGTTACGGGAGTTGTGGTTCGTTTCGCTCTATGGGGTGAGGTGGATGGCAACCAAGATATGGAATCGCACACAGACGTGAGTCAAAGATCATTGACCACCATGCGATATTCCTTATAGCCGAACACGGCCGAAGTCGAGGCAATCATATAACTGAAGTCAGTAGGTGTCTTAATCGCTGCGGAACCGGGACACCTGTGCGTTGACTATAAAAGGAGCGCCCTGCACACCTCCATCATCAATCCCACCACCAAAACCCGAAAATTCGAACGTGCGCGACCCCTTCTACCATAACTACTGCCAAAGGAATCTCTATCTCGGAAATGACGGAGAGACACGATGACATCGCCTTTCCCTGGCCCTCGTTGCCTGCAGATATCCGTCTTTCCATCCTCGACGAAATCTCAGGTCAGAAACATCCTGGCTGGGCTCAATGCGCAGCCGTCTGTAAGGAATGGCAGGTCATTCTTGAAACCAGGAATTTTTCCCGACTATCATTGCAGCCATCCTGTCTAAAAGAACTGGAAACCCTCGTTATCCGACAAAGGCCTCTTGTCAAGCACATCTGTTTCAATATCGCTCTTCCTCGATACGCCTGCACCAGTTGTAAACGACCCGCCATTACGTCCCGTGATAGATCTACCATGTTTAAGAGGGCCATCATAAAGCTCTTTTCTATCCTAAGTACCTGGCAGCCTACGGGTCAGTTGACACTCGAACTGAGCGCATCTTCACCGAGTGACTCACAACACTGGTTCAAAAACTACTGTTTTGGGCCTGGACATGAAAACACAAGAGACTGGACGCAAGAGGAGAAAGCCATTAGATGGCACGACCCAAAACACGGTTGGGTTAATGGTCAGCAGCTCGAGATTCCTGGCCGGCCCGCTGTTTTGCGCCTCTTCTCCCTGCTCCCCTGGAACGTCCCTCAAAACATCCTTGCCGTTCATGCCGTTACAGGCTTCTGCATACGTCGACAACTTCGACATGAGCTTTCTCCCGACGTACTAAAGGCCTTGTGGGAGAAACTCCCTCGGCTAGAAAGTATAGTCCACGAGTCGTGGATTGTCCGGCGCAATTGCCAGATCCTGCGTGCATATTATACGTTGAGCCCTTTCTTCACTACAAGCTTCTGTGCCTAGAAATGTAGAGGGGCCGTACTCGTTCTGTTGAGATTGTCTTATATCGGATCTGGTATTAGATTGAAGACCCACCCCCACCCTTCCACCTACATCGAACATGTATTTTGGGATTTTTCTGACATCTTAATAGTACTGTTCACCTGGGTCCTGGAAAGCGTTCCAACCTCCGTTAGGAGATTATCTATCTTTAAGGACTCCAACAACCAACTTGAATTGGCAGTTGATAACGCCACGCCACATTTGAACCAACTTGTGGAAACTCCCTCAGCTACAAAACTCCACCTTGCCAGAGCGTTTGCCGCCAAAAGCCAACATCTAGAGCGCCTTTCTATTTCATACATGATCGACGCCCAGCAGTTTTTCACTTCATGCCAGCAGCAGCCATGTACCTGGAATCTCCTGCAGTCGTTGACACTCACGTCATCCACACTGGCCCGGACAGCCCCTCGCCAAGATATTTATACACTGTTGCGAAACGCTAGTTCGGTTGCACTCAAGATGCCGCAGCTCCAAACCATGGTGCTCTGGAACAGTGAACCAGGACAAGCCTGTGCGGTAATTTATCAGCGACATACTGCAAGTGCGATAGCGACACTTACATGGCGTGGTACATGGGATCCTGAGCTCAGCGATGAGGTTGTTGAGTCATGGAAGGAGGTTGCATCTGGTTCCTGCTACCTGCGGTTGGAAAAGGAAGCATTACATGACGTGGATATCAGGTCCCATGGTGATGCAATTCATCATCTGCGCTTGCCGGATGGAGTTGTTGATTCAGAATCACTG